TACAAATCTTCCAAGACACAGGCTACTCGTACCTTCGAGAACGAGAGGCATCTAGTGCATGCAGAGCTAGAGCATGAAATCAACATACGTGAAATTTTGTGCGCGCTTCACAACACCCGCAAGTCTACAGCTCGTGGTCTTGATAATATCACTTACGAAGCGCTAGCAAATCTCGGCCCCGATGCCACCAGCACTCTTCTCGAAATATTCAATGAAGTTTGGAGAACAGAGACAATACCGGAATCGTGGAAGTTTGCTAAAATAGTTCCGCTCTTAAAACATGGAAAATCACCACTGAGCCTGGATTCCTTCCGCCCTGTAAGTTTAACCAGTTGCGTCGGAAAGCTACTTGAGAAGATCTTACATAACCGCTTACAGTGGTGGCTGGAAACTAGTAAAGCGTTTCCCGAAGAAATTACAGGATTTCGTCCACGTAGATGCACAATGGATGGCATCTTAGACCTCACCACCTGTGTAGAGTACGAACGAGATAACGGAAACATTACGGTGGCAGTGTTCCTAGATATTCGCCGAGCATTCGATACGGTTAGTCACGCTCATGTTCTTGAAGGACGTGTGCTTCTTGGTGTGCATGGACGCATGCTTCGCTGGATACAAGAGTTTCTTCAATGCAGGAACATCGTAGTGTGTACAAATGATGGAGACAGCAAGCATCATGAACTGCACCATGGAGTGCCCCAAGGTAGCGTGTTGAGCCCTACTCTTTTCAATGTCGTAATGGCCCAGTTACCGCAGAAACTCCAGCCACCTTTACGAATATCTATATATGCTGACGATATTTGTATCTGAATCTCTGGCTCATCCCCAGATATTAAAAAGAAATCAGTTACAGATAGCCTTAGACACGACAAACAAGTTTTTAGAAGAACGAGGAATGGAGCTATCTGCCACGAAATTGGCATTTATACCATTTACCAGAAAAAAGCTTCCTGGTTTTGAACTTAATGTAAATGGAGACTCAATTCAGCGAGTTCAATCATACAAATTTCTTGGTGTCCTACTGGATCAATCCCTGACTTGGTCCAAACATATAGATATGCTGGAAGGGTGAATTAATAGTGTAATTAATGTTTTTCGATGCATCGCGGGTGCGAAATGGGGAGCCTCAATAGATTCAATGCTTTCATTCGACTCGGCGCTAGTGCGACAAGCGATTGCCTACTCTATACCTGTGTTACAGGGGCTCTCCAACACATCCGAAGCTCGCCTTACTTATATACTTGCAAGAAGTCTAAGAGTATGCTTAGGTCTTCCGCGAGCAACATCCAGTGCGCTTGTACTCGCTGCAGCCAAAGAACCACCAGTAACTATCCTAAGAATCCAGGAAGTATGTCGGAATATTTTTAGACTTTCTGCGCGGCCCCTTTTTAATGAAATTCTTTCTCGCAAAGGAAGGAAGGAAGGAAGGAAACTTTCTTCGAACATTAAATTCCGTGCCAGTGATAATCCCTGAACAAACACACTGGGTTCAGGACATTCATAAGCCACCATGGACGCTACCATTACTGGACATCAATATGAACATTCCAGGCATGGAAACAAAAGCATCGATCAATACACACGTTGCTAGGACACGGACTCTTGCACATCTACTGCAAAAATACGACGATAACATCCACGTGTATACCGACGGATCAACCAAGGATGAAGGATCAACATCAGCATTTGCGGTACCCCATTTCAACCATTGGTCATCCTTTCGGTTGTCACATCATACTTCTTCAACTACCGCAGAATTGCATGCTTTACTCGCGGCTGCAATGTACATCAAAAATAGCTTGACAGCGAATTCCTGGGTTATATGTACCGACTCCAAGCCAGCACTGTAATCCATTAAGACCCTGAATACTCGCAACGAAAATATGTCTCTTGTGTACCGAATCTTTGAAGAACTTGGGGAAGCTATAAGATTTGGGCATACGATACACCTTCAATGGGTTCCTGGACATAGCGGTGTTTCAGGAAACACCCAAGCTGACCAACTGGCCACGGATGCATATACAAGCAACAACGTCCAGCTCACACCTTTTACAAAAAAAGCGATGCCGAGCGGTACATTTGTGTCTGAGAAACAGAATGCCCCCTGACACGTGGCTCAAGAGCATCTCGGAACAGAGCCTACTCCTTTTAATTGACCGAGACCTTCGATGTCCAGTTCATAATTACTTGAGCAGACCTATTGAGACATTAATTCATCGGCTACGACTAAATGTCGCGTACACCCGCAGATTTCTTTGCCGAATTCAACTGGTGGAAACACCGAGCTGCACGTGTGGCCATTCCGTGGAAGACGTCGAGCACATAATAATGGACTGTCCAAGATACGACCAGTGGCGAACTCGATTACGAGTGGGACTAAGCATACTCAACAGTCCATCTTTTTCTCTGGCCGAAGTTTTAGGTCCTTGGCCAGACTTAAAAAAGCCAGAAGAGGGCATCAACTTTACTACGTGATTTTTTTACTGGCACAAAGATAGTTGACAGATATTAGGTATTATTTGAAGGTCAAAATACGCACGACGCCCCTTAAAGGATAACTGCGTTTTTATTGTAATTTTATTACTACGTTACAGTAATCTATTGTACATATGTACATATGTATTTCTTGCGTAATCGCTTCTCTTATCGTGTAATTTTGTTTTGTGCGTGTTCGGTAACTGAGAGTATTATTCATGGTGCTCGGATTTTATAATTGGATGTTAAACATCATTCACTCTGTACATTACTTGATTTGAAGTAGCCGGTCCCAGGATATGGGACCAAACTCTTCAACTCATCAAATAAACATTGAATTGAATTGAGATGCTTGTTGTGATTTATTTATTTATTTATTTATGTTCAGTGCCTACAAATGGCCAAAAGCCTAGGACGGTAGAGCACCAAGTCACATTACGGAGGTTAAGGCGACAAAACAAATAAATCCAGAAAATGACCCGACGACAACGCACTATATCATATTGTCAATGCTTCTCTTGAATGATGTGATGTCATCATTCAAAAAGTTAAGGCACCTATCAAGATGATTAAAATAGTTTTGTATGCGAACTACAGGAGAGAAACAATGCATGGGATTAACGGCGAACGTGCGGTTGTTGCGAAAATGTCTAACAAGCACATTTAGATTGATGCAAGACACAATAAAAGAACAGTCATAAGAACAAAAATATGAGATCACATCTGCCGCGTCTTGTTTTTAACTCCACCAATTCTACGCGATTGAGCACGTTTTGCTCAATTGCTTAGGATGGATTCGACGAAAAAGAGAAAGGCGGGACACACTCCGGCTCTAGGGAAGTGTGCCCAGGTTAGCTGACCGGCGTACTTCTGATATGCTAGAGTATAAGGAGTAGTTAGAATAAATTAAACGAAGTGATCTATTTCCAGCGGCTTCTAGGGTGTTACTTTAGTATGATTGCAATGTAGCCCATATTGGGGAAGCGTATATTTTATACTCCGTTTAAGCTGACACTGGATCCAACGGCACAAGCATGATGGCTCGATGTCGCCGCTTTGATGAGTTCTTCCTCAGAACGAGCACTCGCGCTAGAAATGCATATCTTCTAAGCCAGGAGCGCGGACTATAGTTTGGATCATACCAACGTAGCGTAGGCTAGTTACTTTACTGAGGGTGTCGCTAGCCTGAGGTTATTGAGTAAAAATCCAAGAGTACGGTTAGCATTAGCAATTACATAGGTTATGTAAGTAGTTCAGGATAGATCCGACGTAAGATCGATTTCTAAGTATTTGTATAATGAACAGTCCTTCGCTGGGGTGTTAGCAAGGCGATGCAAAAGAATGCAACAAACGAATGCCATGAAAATGAGAGCGATTTACATTTAGTAATATTTAAACTTATTTGCAATTTTTCGGCACGACTTAGATATTAAAGTTATAACGTTCTGTAAAGTTAGTTGAATATTATGTGAATAAATAGTTTTGTAAATTATACAGTCATCGTGGAATAAGCGCACTGATGAGGATATGTTATTACGCGGGTCATTAATGTAGATTGGAAATAAAAAAAAAGTCAAGTATCGTTCCCTGAGGGCCGGCAGACGTTACTTTACTGGTCGGTGATTTCACATTCTTAATAGAGGAGAAGTATTGGGAGCGATTAATGAAACATTAGGAGATCCAGGTGACATCAGAGAGGTGTATATTAAGAGTTCTAAGTTTCAGAGAAAGACATTGATGAGGAATTGTGTCAAATGCCTTAGAAAAGTAAATAAGAAAGCGTTAGTTTGACAGTTCGAATCGAAGACTGTGTAAATGTTGGTAGGAATGCTGTTTATTGGCGTTTGCACGAGTCTTACTTACAAAATTCATGCTGATGTTCAAAAAGGAGGTCGTGTAAGCTCAGATTGTTTATTATATTTGAGTGAAATATATGCTCCAAAAGTTTAGACGGGACACTAGGAATATGAATGGGGCGGTAATTACTGATTAGCTTGCGGCCACTCGTCTTATGAACGGAGATTACATTAGCAATTTTCCAATCATATGGGAATTTAGGAACCATGAGTGACTGCGAAAATATGTCGTAGAAAAAAATGGAGGACATGCTTTTATTTTTTATAAATACTTTCGAGATAATTTGGCGACTTCCAAAATTAGAGGACACCTTCGCTTGGACAATTAGGATAAGATTGATATGAGGGTGAGATAACTTCCATGAGTCAGAAATGTTAGACAGGTCTTCATTACTAAAACCAAAATCCGAAACTGTTAAGACTGAGAATGCTTTGCTCTTATTTAAGGGGGCGGTTGCCATCGTGTAATAATTGCGATGGGGATGGGTGGGCTGTGTTGATTGTTTTCCAAAACGTTTTTTGTTAATTTGTTGGAATGTTGGGGAGGTGAAGTAAGTAATTTTTTTTTCATAAATAATAACACATTTATAAGACCTAACGTAGTCGTAACACGTGTGTGATTCATTGTAAGTTCAACCCAAGTATAGCGCGACTTATCCAAAAACGTACCGGCGTATATAGTTCTATTCCGTGAGCCTATTGATACATGTCGCTGAATTTCTTCGGAACCTGCAGAGGATCACGTAGGTTCCCACTGTGCGGCGCCAGGTGGGACAGGTACAGGAACAGTGGCTGCGGTGGAAAATAAAGTTATTAGGAGTAACAAGATACGAGTAGAGATCACACTAGTTCAGTATGTCTAGAGTCTAAAATTGGTCTAGTGATGATGGAGGACGTTTTAATGCGAAAGCATTGACTGTCCCGTTGAGCGAAGCCGGCGGCGTCTGTACCCGCGTAAAACGGCAACTAAAAAGCCGTAACCGCGATAAACGGCACCTAAATTGACTGCAAAGCGTCGTATCATATGCTTTGTCACGGAAGGTGGCGCGGCCGCTCAAGGACAAAACAGACGAAAGCCGGCGGCTGCGCTCAAGGTCAAAGCGGACGCGCTTCAGAAATAAAACAAAGAAAAGCACAACGACGCCATGCTTTGTCGCGGACTGAGCCGTCGTGAAGCTGGCAAGGTTCGCCGTGCCTGCTCATTGGGGGAGCGTGATGTCACCGCCGTAGCGCCGTGCGCCATAGGAAGATGTGGCGCACTGCTTGTAGGAATACGCTGCGTGTAGGAATGCTTTCGCATTCTTACACGTAAGCAGTCTTAAGTGCCTCTGTCGAATTTTTAATTAACAATCAAAAGGTTGGATTAAACACTGGAGCTATTGTTTTCTGGAACATGTTATTTCATTAAACGCAGAAGGTCGGATGTTTGGTCGATATCAAACCCGCTTTCTGTAGCAGAGGGACGAAGATTACTTGGCTGGTCAGATGTTGACTACTTTTTTACTAAATGATTGCATTGGCTTAGAGTGCCACAGCCAGTGATATGTAGGTTCGGCTTTACATACTCGTCGTCACCTATAGCCATGTGTCAATCTTCTTGTGCTCGTACATGAAGGGCTAACGCTTTCATATTGTAATGATGGCGTGCTTGCTACCGCCCCTTTACGTGTGCAAGAACTACGGTACGCACGCGAGTGCAATCTCGCAGGCTTGTGACTGCGTATGCTTGCGTACACGAGTAGAGACACGGCGAGCGGCGCCTTTGCATTTGAGTATAAAACAAATAAACGGTTAGGACATGATTGGCATAGGAAGCCCGTCGACCACGCCACTAGAAGAACTGATCGCATCGTTTGGCGTAGTTATATTCGTGACTGGATGATTCTCTGTTTTGTACGAGGGTTTACCAAAAAGTGACCAGAGTTTCTTTTTTTTTTTTTTTCGGGAGAGCGGGTTTTTTGTACTAAACATTTTCTTCGCTAGGTGCCTATTGTAGGAACCCATCTGCATGAGCGTACCAGTAACTGTTCCTGTGAGACGATGCGTTCGGCTTCAGTGGATTATTTTGGAGACTTAACGCTTTTGCTTATCTCGGGATGGCTGATGTGTCTGAACAACGTGAGGCAGCTAAATTTTATTTTCTGTTGAAAGAAAATGGCGACGGTAGCGATTGCTATGCAACAGACGGCTTAAAAGAAAGACGCTCTGTATAAAAAGCAAGTTTACAATTGTTTTACAGTTTCGAACGAAACGAAATGTCGATGTATGATCAACCTTGTTCCGGGCGTCTTCGACAAGCCGAACTAAGGAGACGGTGGCGAGAATTCGTCAAGCCATCTTCGATAACTGCTGTTGGACGTTTGATGAACTTCTGGACTTCACTGGAGTGTTGTGTCGATCTTGTCAGCAAATTGTATCAGATAACTTGCACATAAAACGAGTTGCAGCCAAATCAGTGCCTCGCTGGTTCACACCTTAGCGAAAACGCAATCGCTTGGCTACGTGTCGTTCTTCAAAGGATGACGCTGATATTTTCCCAAGTCATTACCGGAGATGAATCCTGGTACTACGGCTAAAATCCCGAAACTAAATTGCAATCCAGCCAATATAAAACTGCGTTTTTTCCACGACCCAAGGAATCGCGGCAAGGGAAGGTTAAAATGAAAGCAATGATCGTCTGTTTCTTTCACGTGAGAGGCACTATACCCTCAAAGTTTTTTTTTTTTTTGAGTCAAATAGGTAACCAAAGATTTTATCTGAAAGTTTGTAGAAGTTTGCGTCATGATTTCCGGAAGAAAAGTCCCGAGTTGTGGCAATGGGAACGCCTACACCACGCGCTGTGACCCCCTACTCTACCTTCCCTACTCGCCACTCCAACGTCCTATAGGTGGCGGGGCGGCAGTCGCAAGATGGCGGAAAAGACGGAGATAAATTCTCCAGGATTTCCCGTGCGCCTGTCCGCTTACGCTGGTCACTGGGCTAAAATTAATTAATTTGGCAACAAATACCAAGCGGTGAGAGTAGGAGCATATTACAGAAGAAAATGAACATGTTCATTCTTAAAAATGGCGGAGCCATGCGGTAACAGCAGCATCCTCCTCCCTGTTATTCCGACGCGGCCCTAAGAAACTGATCATTGAAGGTTAAAACACAATTTTATAAAATTGTTTCGGCGTACTTTTGTCGGTTCTTATTGGTTTAAACCGAAAAGGTTGAACATAAAAACTGACCTTTTTCGGTTAAAACCGAATTTTCGAAACTGTATTCAGCGTACTTTTATCGGTTTTTATCGGTTTAAATAAAAGAACTCCGAACCCTAGTCATAAGGTAAACCTGAGTATCCCCCCCCCCCCTCACAAAAAAAAGTAAAAAAAGAAAAAAATCTTTTTTTAGTTTATGTTTTACGGGAAGAAGACACTACGCTTCTCCGAACACTGATTCTCCGCCCAAATGTAGCGCTGTTATGGTCTGAACCAGATGCCAAAGTTTCAGAACTAACCCTTACCTCGATCAAGAAACTTATAGGTGATTTTGTGGAAATTTCTGTAGGAAATGGAGCCCGTTTTCACCCGTTTTCGGTAAAAGGCGCCATTCGGCCGAATGTATAATAAGAGGTCCATAGACCACAATTTTCCCATTCAAAATTTCAGAAAATCGGTTGTAACTTTTGAATAAGATAACGGTTAGTTCAGAAACTTTGGCACCTGGTTCGGACCACGAAGACTACATTTGGGCGAAGAATGAAAGTTCGGTGACGCGTAATTTATTAGGGCTGTAAAAACAACAACAACAAAAAAACACGTATTTTTGTTTGTTTCTTGGGGGACATCTCGTGTATCTGACTATACACGTTTGCAAGTCCGGTCTCAGGGCGCCGCCATCTTCCTCAGTGGGGTGCGCTCTCGGGAGCGGCCATAATCCGATTACGACGCCTTAGCAAGGCTTCGTAATCGGATTATGACCGGTCCAAGCGCACCCCAGACAGGCAAGATGGCAGCGCCCTGAAGCCGGACTTGCAAACGTGTATACCAAGAGGCTAACAAGTTATATTTTTTTGTCACTAAACAATACTTGTCTAAAAAACAAAAGTCAAACATAAAAAAAAATCGACGGATTCAGTATGTATTGGTATGTTTCGCTGTGGCAAAAATTACAAATGCCATTAAAAAAACGAAGCAAAAAAAAAAAAAAAAAAACTGGGCGAAGCGACGGGGACCGCGACACTGGGTTGCCCATCGCTCGGACGCCGATCGTCTGAAGCTCTGAACGCAGAATAAGAAACATACGTTTTTTTGTGTTTTTTTTTTTTAATTGCTACATTAAGCCGTTTGTTTTCTTTTTTTTCATTTCATCGTCTTTTTACTCTTTTTTGCCGAGTTGCTCGTCTTCAACTTTGTCATTTAAGGTGGCTAGTTTGCAAGTACGGTGCGTGCTATACCCAAACCCCTTCAAGCTGAGGCTATACTTCGTTTTAGCTTCGGTCCGAGCGCGGCCGATGTTATGAGCCGAGGGGCCAATCAAACACCGCGAAAAGCGAAGCGTCATGGCGTGCTCTCCGCGCTTGATAAGGCTAGCTGGCAGAGGAGCACGCCCAGAGAGGTGGCGAATATCGGCTGGTCCTATCAACTGCAGAGGACAAGCCATGATGTTGTGCCTCTTTCGCTGTTTGAATGGCCCTTCGGTTCATAACATCGGCCGCGCTCGGACCGAAGCTGAAACGAAGTATAGGAGCTCCTCCTTCCGCGTGAGCTCGCAGGCTTCAACAGTGGTTCGGTCGCGCGTGCCTGAGCGTTCACACGAGTTAGCAAAGGCAGAAAGCTCGCGCTGAACGCGTAGCTTCTAGTATCAGCTTAAGGGTGAACAGAGTATAGTGTGGAGATAGGTGGCCGAGTGGGCTAGCGCACACCTGGCGCACACCAGCTCGGAGCACATGGAGCGAAAGCTCGCGCTGCAGAACCCAGGGGTCCTGGGTTCAATCCAGGGCTGGTCAGTATAGCGATACAAATGTATCGGGATAGTATCTTAGAGATACTTTCGAGTATCTGCATCTATATATCGAGATATATTTGAAAAATCGTTTTGTATCTCAGTAGTGAAATACATTTACAGTGTATCGCTCGTATTGCGATACTCTGCCAGACTTAGGTATCTCGTTACATTTGTTACCTTTTCTTCAAATAAATGTAAAGAATTAAAACGTCTGTTTAGTGCAAGTTGCTACGAAATTTAAAATATGAGCCCGTCCTACAACATGATCCATCTCAGTCACCAACAATACAAAAACTGTGGTTTGAAAAAGGTAACTTGCAGGAACAACAAAATCAGCTCCTCTCACAAAGTCCTCCGCTCTTTCAAATTTAGCAGAGCGAACGCTCTAAAGGAGTTGAGTGGAGAAAAAGTACGGCCCTGTTGTCTAATCTCCCCAAGCTATGGGTGACTCAGAAGCATATGAGGCGACAGTTTGGGATGCGCCCTCACGGTAAAACAGGGTTCGTTTCGGGCAGGCGCCTTTTGTCAAGCATGGTACGCAGGCTTTACCGTTCTGCAACTATGTGGTTCAACGGAGGTGACATGTTTTTTAGCGGCATTAATGATAAATAAAGAGTTCTGGGTAAGGGGTAGTGCATAAAATGGCACAAAAAAAGGAGCACATGTATGAATTACCATTCGCATTCACCGCGCGATACACCCTTCCCACGTAGCACCATTCGGGAACAAATACGTTTGTATAAGTATCTGTATTTGTACTCCGGAATACTCTTTCGCCGTTTTTGAAAAAAGTATCTCAAGGATATCCCGTTGCATGAAAAACAAATATATCTAAGTATCTGTATTTCGGGCTTTAAAACGCACGTACCTTAGTATTTGTATTCCCGAATACTTCTTTGGAGTATGTCTGCCCAGCCTTGGATCAATCCTCACCCCTCCCGTCTCGATCTGAATAAGCATCGTACCGGCGTGCCGTCGCGCATCACTATTGCGTGGTGCACCTTAAACACCCCAGGCAGTAGTACTGAACTGTCGGTAACAATGTCGCCATGCTCTGGCAGACTAAACTTCTGCTGTATAAACAATTATCTAATCGTTTGTTTTATTTTGCGTGCTATTGTCCCGGTTTAATTGTGGGTGCTGACTGATTTGCTTCACATGCGAGTGCTCTACTTTGATACTGCTTCCGAGTGCTTTTATGACCATGTAATCCACATTCAGCGGTGCTTAATTACGATTAAAAGCGAAAATAAAAAAAACAAACAGACCCCTTCACAAATGAAGTGCCATCTATTGGCTCAAGTATCAGTCTAAACCCGGTCGAAATCTGGCCCATCGTCAACCGTAGACGTACCAAAGTTATCGTGTTCTTTCCTGTCCAGATTTCCTACTCATTTCAATTTCCGACGGTGCCGAAAAACTACTACTCTGTTCAGGGCGCTTCATTACTTGAGTAAAACTCTCGATGAAGTTCACCAGATGTTAGTGTCCTGATCTATCTAGGGTGTGCAAGATCCGAGCATCCCAAGGATTTACATGAAACCATCGAAGGCGTAGTGGATACAAGCTTCTTAGTCTCATCACGGTGACATTGAAGAACAATTATAGCGAACTAACGTCCAGAATGTTCACATTCTGCGTCGGTGCTTGTCTTCAAATTCTTACTTCACCGGATATCGAAATTCCGCCGCTATTAGCATGTACGAATGATGTACACTTAGGTGATGATAGCTATCGATGTAGGCAGACTAGATTTCGGAAAGGGTCTATGCAGCATTTTTTTTTTTTGTTCTCGTTTTTTTGGCACTGTTTTTGTTAGCCAGTTTGTCGTAGTATTTTGAATGCAAATGACGTGCAGTCGAACGCACTTTTATATTATTAAAGTCTGGCAGTTGTGAACCTTTCTCTTTGTCTAGCGAAAAAAAAAAATGCACTGGCGGCCGCGTTCTAAGGTAGGGGAACCGGTTTGAACCGGTTCGCGCTTGTCGAGGCTGGTAACCGAACCGATATTTTGAATTCATCACTGAACCGGAGCCAAACAGGCATAAATTGCAAAGTTTGTGAGCCCGAACCCGAACCGAAGCGAAAGAATTACCGGTTCGACATCCTTGTTTAAAGGATCTCTTGAGCATTGGAAGAAACGGCTTGACAAGTGTATTACATCAGACGGAGAGCACCGCGAAGGTGACTGATATTTAACTGCGTAAAAGTAAATCCACAAGTTTGCAAATATAAAATTCGGTTTCTTTCACATGCTGCAATCTACCAAATGATGATATGCCTTTTTTCTTTCAGAAAACTCGCAGGGCTAATCACTGCAATTTCTGAATGAAGTTCATCGTTGAAATAAGGTCGAAAAGACGTTTTGGCACACACTTGAAATATTTTACGTGAGCATCTGTATCTTCGCGTTCATTGCAGATTTTATATCCTTCATTACAACGCTTTTGTTTTCGTGACATTTACTGAACTTCCGCCACGTGCCGTTATAATTACCTTTCGGAGCGCGCTGTGTAAACGTAGCTTTATGGGCAGGTTACGAACTACAAGGGAAAACCTCTGCGCACTGAACAGCTCCGTGCCACTGCTGCACCAAGGTGGTCGCCTGTAGGAGCGTTCGGGAATTGAAGATCGTGTCATATTTATGACCTCCGCCCTTTCTCTGGCAAAAACTAATTAACTAAAAATTAACTAATTTTATACTTTCAATGCACAATACATCAAAAATTTAACTAATACCAGTGTACGATATTCGACGGCCGAAACGTAAAGTACCCATAATACGAACAAATTACGGACGACAAATTTAGCCTTCCAGATTTCTGCAATTTTGAATCGTGACGTACTCGAATTAAACTATGATGTATCAATATCCCAATTTAAAAGAGATTGTAAGACAAATTTACTGTGCAATGTTCTCACATTTTGTTAGATACTGCTCGTCTTTCTTAAAACTGCAATCATATTTTGTTTTCTTACCTTTCTCGTTACATTGACTTTTGATAGGTCTGTTCAGTCTATACAAAGTTATTGTATAAAAATGTAATTTGTATTTTGAAATTCTTTCTTTTGTAGCTTCATGTTTTTCGACATAATTTTGTCAAATTATATCTCGTATCAACTTTATAAAACTGTTGCGATCTAGACTTTTGGTTTATACCGCGTCTATGTATCTAATACCTATCTGTTTTGTATGTCTAAGCTAAACAAACTGCATATTTGACAGTATTAAAATTTGGCTATTGAACTTATATGAATTTAATGTATATGTACTTAATATGTATAATGTATTATATGTGTATGATGTATTATACGTATGTGATGTATTGTATATGTATGTTGATGCTCGCTGCATACCAAGAGGGGGTTAAGGCCTTGTCAGGCACTCGTGCCTTTACCCTTAAACCCCCTCTGCAGAACATGTATCCGGAAACACAAATAAAGAAGAAAAAAAAAGCATATTTTAGCATGCCCCTATGATTTTGTTATCCTTGTAATAAAGTTCCAGTAATTAGGTTCTTCCGGTGTGCTGCGTGAGTCGACCCAGTTCGGCAACGATATACTATTAATAAACTAAAATTATAATTCGACCATTCGTATATTCGTATAGTATTGACCTTTCACCCAAACGTCGTATACCGCAAGTTTGTATTGTGTAGGTTGATACGTTTAAACAAAGAGGCAGAAATCCATTGAGACACCTTTTCCAGGGGGTGGGTTTCGATGATCCTGATAGCTTCTTCTGTCATGAGCTCAGTGTAGTATCGACCATCAAACTCCCGGCCCCCTAAAAGTCCCCGTCGAAAATCAAATCCTCCTAAGGCAACCTGCAAGGAGAAAAGCTGTTTCAATCACGACTATTATAAGTAAACATTTTGGTCCATGATATGACACTTTTAAGAAAAAAATAATCCGTATAATTAGCTTGTAAGTTATTATTGGGCTCGAGACTGCGCAAATAAGGAACGGCATACACAAAACGCAACTCCTTGTGAAGCAGTGTTTGTTTGTTTATTTGTCTCAATGCATCCGCATGTAGCTCATTGACACTCGAATTTTAGGTCCCTACCAGCTTGGCTTAGTTTTCATAATACAGTCAGCATCCTAGCTAGATCATTTATTTTCCAGAGCCTTTTTCCATCTGGTGCTGCCTTTAATGCGCAATTAAAGCAGTGACGCCTCTAAAGCCACTCTTGCCAAAGTAACAGAAAAACGCGAAAAATGAATTAGTTTGTCAGCCGTAGGTCTGCCCTAGCTGCTGCTTGTTATTGCTCGTGCTGGGGCCTGCCCGGTAGGTGGGGGATAGATGGCCGAGGCATTCCACTTTCGGCTGTCGAGCAAATCGAACGAGGGGCTCGTCAGGGGCGTTGATAACGCCTGACGCCGGCCGTGGTAACTCGGGTTTTTCTTGCCCCATGTACTAGCGTGTTACCTTGCGTCCCGTACCAAGAGGTGATGCCATACAGCGATCAGTTCTACCGCATAGCGACACCGCATCAAGGGCTTTCGAACGTCGTTTGAAGAAGCAGGGGTCCTCAGGACAATGATCGGAATAGTGGAGTTTCAGATGTCCCATGTCTGCTTGCTCAAGCACCCAAGTTAGTCAAGGCAGGGAGGTTTTACACCGTGGGACGCGCAGGCCTCGTCGTGGATCCTCCCAGGCAGCAGCTGGGTGACGTTCAAGGCGTCAAACGACACTATATTTAGGGCCTTCGCGGCCTACGGCAAGGTAGAAGATGCGACTACACTACCCGTAGAAAGTCCCCCGTTTAACGGATCATGTTGAAGATTGCCCGAGACTGGTCAAATATTGAAAACTTTAAACAAATGGCAGGAGAAAAACCTATCAACCTTTTTTAGACGTTATTTTCCCCTGTGTCATTTTTCATCTACTAAGCTTCCAATCTCTTACCACAGTTTCGGTCAATTTTCAACATGATCAACGTCCACCAGCTTGCCTGCACACTTAATGTATTTTGGTTTCACAGAGCCGCGTCAAACGCCCGAACTGTATCGTATGGTGCTTCAGGAGGACGTCGCCCTTGTCAGCCTACCGGACCAGTTACGCTTCGGCAGTGGCTTGGCCGTCGTGGAAGTGCCGGAGAAGGCCTCTACCTTCCTTCGCTACCACAGGACGGGGCACACCTGCTGTGTCGTGCTCCCAGATTCACCGAGTGTCGCGCGTGTGTGCATGAGTGGGCAAACTGTGTTTCCTTCTACGCATTGAGCACAAGGTTGAAGTGGTCATGGATGAAGAAGAGGCGGAAAGTGAGGCAGCGCTAGCGATAAGAGGCTGAGAACTACAACACGGTTGAAAGGATGACAAGCATATGGCACCGCCCGCCTGAAAGTTATCCTTAGTCATTCCATCCTAAGTTCAACAAGGCCATCAGTCGGCGTACACAACCTTTCGTGACCCCATTATCAAGGACGCCTGTTTGTACTTTCTCAAGCTTCATTGAGTTTCTTCTGTACATATTACACGCCTCTAGCGAGTAACGGTCTTGCTGGAGCATCGACGTAATGAATGAGAACCGAGGCGTTAACCTTCTTCGGGTAGGGCACCCAAAGACTTCTGCTACGTCAAAATAACTTGATAAATTAATGTGCCAATTAAGTGGTGAAGTATCTATACTACTTATCTACATTATCTGTTGTATTGAACAAAGCTTAATCAGTTTTGTGGTTTTCTTAGCTCATCAAAAGTTGAAAAAAAAAAACTTGATACATAGCTTTAGACACTAAAACATTTTACGAATGTGAATTAATCCGTTCCAAGGCGAAAACACTATTGGTGTTACTCAAACCTAAGGTTGCTGGTGAGCGCCCAATAATAGGATGCTTGTGATCCTAGCAGCACCTTAGAGATTGTTTTTACGAGCAGCAGTAATCAATAAGCACCACATACAGTCCTCATATAGACAGAAGAAGAAAAAGAAGAAACTACAAATGTAATGAATCACGCACGTGAGAGGAACCATAACCCTGGTGACTGCTCCCCCGGCTTATATTTATGACAATTCAAAGCACTCATTAACAGGTGCAGCACCTCAGCAATTACGAAGATTACACGAATGTTGTTCTGTTCTTGTGTCTAACTCGCGTATCGCATAAAATATCAAAGTTCAAGGAGTGTATCTCTATGCAAAAAGCTTTGGTAGAGGCAATAATTGTTCGGGATTGTTTTCTAAAGCAACCTGGCTCAAGCGGATGTTAGTGAGGCCAACACCCTTCAATGAGGCTGTTCGTCTTACTTTGGCCTTCTCCCCACCCTTTTTAGACCTTTTAGAAATGAAGTATGTTCAATGCAACACCCCATTTTACTACTGAGAATGGTGTATTAGGAAGAAAAAAAATGTGCCTAACAGATTTAGTGATGGGTGCAAGTGTCGAAAATATTGTTCTTACGCCGTGAAGGCTGTAAAATGTTTTAGTGTGTAACCTTCGTATAGCGTTCTCACCTTAGGATGACCTCTTTGGTGAGAATAGTAGTCTTGAAAGCCGCCCCAGGAGCCGATGTGCGTCTGGAAACCTCTCATTGTCGGAGTGTATTCTCTTCTATAGAAGCCCAGATGCCACTGCAAAATATTTGTCCCCATGGCCCGGTGTGGAGAAGAACTTAATTTAGGTTACCTTTCCGAGCATTTGACGGACGTATCCCAGATCGCCGAGCCATTCAGGAAGAAGCTTGAAATTCAAGGGAAGCCCGCGAGGTTCCATCTCCATGAGGACGAAGTGTTGCATACCTGTATATTGCAAAGCAAGACCACTATAAAGGAGTTCTTAAATTTATAGCCTGATAAAGCATTAGCACTTCCCACAATTTGCTGTCAGCATAGGCTGAGGATAATGAAGACAAATTCGTCGACCAAAAGAAAAGCATACCAAGAATAACAAGTCCGGTATGCTGGTTCCTAAAGTAATTTTATATACCCTTGTAATTTGAATCATAGTTTCTTATCCTGGCAGTATTGGGAAAAAATAACCCCGGGGATAAAATTTCAGAGATCATCATACTTCGATCAACATTGTTCACGACACTGTGCACAGGGTCTCAAACACGAAAAATTACCCTGCGTCTACATTCCCACAAAATACTCTGAGGGCTAATCATTGTGATCTGAGGAAGGAACTCGGCGAGTCAAGATGCCAGAAATAATTTTTGGACCTCGAAATCAAGTCTTTGATGCCTCATTGAGCATCATGTCACAAACAAAAAGACCTTCAGGAAACAATCGAAGATATATTTTCTAAATGTTGTGTAACGATTTTAATGGGGTTTATTCTTTAATGAACCGTATTTCAAAGTTTTTTGTTGCGTTGTATGTTTTTACATACTAATTTATTCGTAATTTTTAGGTTATGTTTTTTTGCTCTGTTATAGCTTTGCTTCTGTTGCAAATGTAGTCTGGTGCTAGGGGCCCACTTTTTGCCTCAGCTCCAAGGTAATTCTGTATTCTAAAAATTTAAAATTATCTCGAAACCTGAAAACTCAAACTTGAAACAAACTCAGTGCCACACCACACAAACAGTTTTTAGGTTTGAACATATTTTGGCAAGTTATTCAACGAGCTAGCTCACTCCATATATCGAAGTGATATTCTCTTCTAGTGCTCGGTGGGTAAGCAGGAGTACGGGCATTATTTTCTAAAGTGATGCGCCTAAAGTTTCGGCGTAACAAACTGTTCATTAACAAAAAGACACAAAGACACCTAAGTACTTCTTATGAGTTGTGAATGCGAAAGCATCCCAGGCTCCGTGACTGCTGCGTCGCTGGGTGACGGAGCGGTGGGAGCGCGGAGCTCGGCGCGGAGCGTGCTGAGATCCCCTGCTCCCTCATCATCATCATCGCCTTAGCTGCGGGTACCGGTTGACAACGTAAAGCAAGGGACTAGTGTCACTTAATAAGCTACGCTTCAGAGATAACGACACTTGGTCGCATTGTTTCTTAAAATAATGGTGGCCAGTTATCTCGACCTTCATCTGAAATCGCAGGAAACGCTTTTTCGCCCTTCACAAATGTTTAAACAGTTCGCGACAGAGCAAATCAATATTATATGACCTTCCTAACACCGAATCTCTTGCTGAGGAAGTCGCACTTTTGAATCACGACGATCGGCAGTTGCGTCTTATCTGCATACGAGCCAAAATGGCGGCGCGCACAACAATGCCGGGGAACGGAGTGCCGATGCTCTAAGCGTAGCTGATTTAGTGGTTCTACAAGAGACCTATGAGCGATGAAAAGCTAGCGGTTGTACTACACTGACTAAATTTCTCATCTACAGCTGGCAGACTCGTCGCCCGTGGAGGCAGGCCAAGTTCTAGAATGTATAAACATTAGGGGAGTGCGAATAAAGATTTCTGAAACCGAATCGAACACCAATCGAAGAATTCTGGCGCCGAATCGAATACGAATACGAATCGAATATTTTTTTTAATCGTTTTTCGAATAGTAAGTAGACTGCTACCAAAGATTGGTACAGATTTTAAAATTAGTTTGTTGTTCCAAAATGTTTCTTTATATCATCGTAACAACGCGACTAGACAATAATGACGTTCAAGGTTCACGCGTATGCTGAACATAAAATCACAGTTCGCGCGGAACTAAAAAAAAAAATCTTACACCTGATCACTTTTCTTTTCACTAGCCATTTGTGAGCGAGGTGAGACTGTACACTGACTGTATCTTATTTTTGCAGATCAGAAAATGAGAAGGCTTGTTACATCAGCTGAAGATACTTATAGTTCCTATGCAAGTAACAAAGCAAAAACACACACACAAGCATCTCCATGTGTCCTGCAGCAAGAGAGTCTCCTCGGCTTGTCACAGTGTTCGAGCACGTTAAAATTGTCTCTCGCTTGCCACCTTAGTTCCGGGAATTGCCAGGTATTGTCGCGCCGCACAGGGTCTTAAACTTTTCTTTACCTATAGTTTCCCACCTGTGGAATGGGGTGTCGGTGCAGGGCAAAACTGGAGAGTGGAGGTAGTCGTAGACCTCCTGCATTAGACAACTTGGTGCATCATTCTTCTTCGGAAATAGCAAGCTGTTCAATATCTTCCACACTGAAGGCTGCTCACTGGTTTGAGATTGCTGTTTGGCACAACTTTCTTCAGACGTGAGCTGTGTTGAGTCTGGTACATTCTGAAGCATTGTACTTACTAGGAACTCTATAGTATTTATTTCCTTGTTGTGGCAAACGTCTTTAAATCGAGGATCAAGGATGGTGGTAAGGGCATGAGGTGCCTGTGTGCTTACATCCTTGTTTTCACTGATCCTTGTTTTCACTGATCCGAGAAGATTCTGAGAAAACTCCTTGTCTTGGGTTCCACTAGCTTGCGCCCTCAGAAAGCAACATCCTCCCACAGTGAACAAGCGGAACAACCATGGAAGGCGTTGGAAAAGACTCGGCACAAGCAGCTGTCGTGGCTTCTTTCATTGGTTGCAATGATGACACCAAGGCCGTTATAAGACGCCATTCGTCCGTGGGCAAGTTCTCAACGGTATCGGTTTCTGCCAGGCCTAACGCAACAGCCGCCTTGAGCTTTAGCAGGCGGGCCAGCATGGCGTACTCACTATTCCATCTTGTGGGTACATCTTGTACCAGCTCAAGATGAACTTATATTCCCATCCTCTTTTGTATATCTTGTAGTCTTGCCCTTGCCCCGCTGCTTCGCTTGTTGTGTCCCACTATGGGTCGCGTTTTTGTGCACACATTTGCGAACCCCTTGGTTTCTTTCTTGGGTTATTGAACGCAAAGCTGCAAGCTATGCGCAAAGCATGCAATGTTCACCCACGGCGGTTTGGCAATTGCAGAAACGAAGTTCTGAATGTTATCAGTGATCACAAAGCAAGAAAGCGTCAGATGCATGCCCCACTCCCCAAAGACTTCCTCAATCAGAGAACGCAGATTCTCCGCAGTGTGGCGTTCACCTGTGCAGCGGCACGCAAGCACAAAACTGTTAGGCACGAAGTCCTCATCGAGCACATGGCACATCACTAACAACTGCCACCCGCTCGTGACGTCCAGCCGTCAGAGGTGATGGCGATCCACCCCACGTCCTTCCTTAGGACGCTGTGCGGCAAAGCGTGAAGAACATACCTAGCGGCATCGTAGATTTCCGGTACGACAGTCCTCAAGAACATCGTTCGAGGATCAGCGCTGTACTCAGACACTGCACATTTCACCAGCTCCAGAAAATCTGGTTCCTCTACGACTGTGTAGCTGTGCAAGCCAGTTGCGATGAAGCAGCCAATTTGCTTTGTTAGAGCTCTGGCGCGAACGCTCTGACTACTCAGTCGGGGCTTGAAGCCGGCATCATACTTGCGTCCATGTACTTTGGAGCATTACGTTGCTCCGCCGCAGCAGCTGCGCTTTCATAGTCCTTGTGGGCCCCTGTATGACGCTTCAGGTGATTCAACAAAGGCGTCATCGTGTTTGTTGGCATTTTCAGGAGGGTGTCACGCACAAGGCACTTCGACGAAACAGCGCAGGAGCGATCGAAGTACTTCCACACTCAGCTGCGCTTTCTCTTCGAAGAACTTCCCGCTTTAACCACTTCTACTTCGCTCATACTGAGCGGCGGCACAGTTGCAACCATTTCTGGAACGTTTCCACGACACGCTTTCCGAAAGCGTGCAAGATTAAAGTAATTGTGTACGGAGCCTTGCGGAGCAGAATACCGCAATGGTGCTTCCAAGTTCCAGGGCGGCCATGTTGGATCCAAGGCCGCACTGCGGGAAGCGGACGTCGCTTCTGCAAAATCCCCGGATGCTCGAGCTACGCGATCATCCTCCGTGTCGTCTTCTTCCCAGGATTTGAAACATGTTTTAAACAACGCTCGCGTTATAAAACAACGCGATTATACTGTATCCAGTGGCTACACATAATGTTGACGGATCAAGGAGCATTTCAGTTCGTTTTATTTTAGTGTAGGATGTATATTTCGGAAACGCAAAGCGAGACACCTGATGCCCGAAACTCGGCACCTGCAAGGTCGCTTTCCCGCACGAAGGTTGGATCCAGCTCGGTACACGTGTTCACTTCTCCGCCAATACGGAGTTGGTGACGAAAGGAAAAAGAACGCGATACTCTGGCTCTGCAAGCAGAGCCTATAAAGTCACTCTACGCACGATCAGCCTCGTGCGAAAGCTGAAGCAAAATAATAATAATAATAATAATAATAATAATAATATTTTATTTCCATCACACTCGATGGTGGCGACCAAGGGAAAAAGCTGCATACACAGCTTGACGAGCCCTTGACCGCCTACAGTGCACGGCGACGGAACACAACAGGAAAAAAAAAAAAAAAAAAAAAAACATACATACACACAGAGGTTGCAACACGCAAAAATTCACCATGGCAGATAAAGCAATATAATCAAATACGAGAACAGTGTTTTAACTAGGTATCATGACCACCCATAATATATAATGAACGGATTTCCCCTATTGACATTTTATTCCAGTCCAAGTTTTTCGATTCGTAAAGATTTAATAAATTAGGAATATTGTGCCTCAGCATTTGAGTGCCATAATTTGTTCTTGGCGTGACCACCCCCCAACATTCAGCGCCACGAGTAGGATAAGTAATAATATTTTTTGAGAGGCGGCCAAGGGTTACTAGAAAGTTTGTGTTCCTAATTAGTTCTATCTTAAGGCTTGTACTGAGCCTGTAAGCATACAAAGTGTGTACATTGATAATGCGGAACTTTTTGAATAGGTCGGATGTATGCGATTGAAA